GCAGAGTCCCTTTACTTCCCTCGCTTTGTTTACTAGGTCTCACTTCAACAACAACAATACTGCCTAGACATAAGAACAGTCTACTCACATCCCTAACTGTTGCCAAGAAAATAATACTCCAAAACTGGAAAACAAAACACACAATCAACATCAATCATTGGACCAACTCTCTTACTCAATACATAACATCCTCTCAAATAGCAGCTCGCCATGATGATGACATGACTTCCTTTACATACTCCTGGTCACCATTCATTAGTCATTTTGACATCAACCCCAATAATTTCTCAACATCAATTTAATCCCCAACACCCAACCACAAATTAATATACCAAAGAGACTAAGTGCCACTCACATTCTTATAATCCTTCACATATAAACAGACGTACATACACAACTGCACACACATGCACGCATACATACACTCTCGCACACCCTCTCCAAATAGATAAGTTAAAATCAGTTACTATTACTATTTATATATGAATTGAGCCCAGCAAGATAAAATTAGCAATGGGTAATGATTGTGGCAATGACGATGATAATAGTGATAGCGATGATGATGTGTATATATATATAAACCCCTTTTTATTTTTATTTTTTATTTTTTATTTTATTTATTTATTTATTTATTTATTTTTTTTTAGTAAAATATATAGACTTATTTGACCACATTCGACATAGCACCTATGCACCCCTGCATTGCATACACATTCACATACATATACAGAAACTCCGCAAACCAAGGCAGAACTGAAACAATAAAAAACGCAACCCGAATAATTTAATTTTATTTTTTTTACTCTCCCCCTCCCCCCCAACCCCTCCCACCTTAACACCTACTGTATTTGTAAACCGTATATATTAGATTTTGAATATAATTTTGTTTTATTTCTTTCTTTTATGTTTTCATTCTTGTAATTGTATTAAAATGTAATAAAGTTAATAAAAAAATAAAAAATAAAAAAGAATATCAGGCCAAAGGTGTGTGTAGGTCATTGACGTGTAGAAAAAATGTACAGTGTGCTCCCTGATCTAAAAACTATATATAAATGCAATATATTATACTGAGGACCACAAATCATTCCCACATACCAGCTTATGCAAAGATCTGTTATTTCTTGCTTACAAAGACTGATACATATATTTAAATCCCCTCAGAGTTATTTCTTTGCTGTTTGTATGAGAAAATAGCAGAAGCCAAACAAACATGCCCACAACTCCTCTCTGTTTCTGTTTTGGGGGGTGCGTCAATTCAAGAGCCAATCAATGCGGAGCGTCTGAACCCCACCTCCTGTCCAGCTCTCTCTGCCTTGCGATTGGCTGCGCAGAGCAACACCTATTGGACACTTCTGGATACATTAGGAATAAGAGATACTGCCGAGGCTAAGAGAGGTAAATACATCCACTTTCACAGAAAAAAACTGCATTCCCAAAGTGACACTGTAACTTGATGTTCATGCTTGTTGGTTTTAAAGTCCAGTTCTTTTGTATAATTTGAATTGCCTTTTTTATTGATGAGAAGGTTAAACTGGTATACACCTACAGTATTTAACATTAAGTTTGAAATAAAAGAAAGGCTTTACAGTTTAAAATATAGATGATGATCAAATATTACTTCTCTATACAGACTCCAAAACATGAATGTGAGAGTTTCTAAGACTTAGACAAAGCAGTATTTACAAATCAACACAGGACAGGAAATGTGGAAATGGTTTATCACAGTTGATTTTCAGCAACAACCAAAAATATCAAAGCTGTATTCATGTTTTGGAGGGAGAGGTAAACACACTTACTGTGAGTGCAAGCAGCATTCATCAGGGATCTAAAATGAGTAAGTGATGTTTTCATAATCATGCCCGAACACATTTAAATACATGTGGGAGCACAGGAATCTCTTTGTCTGCTCTGGTCAATCATTTCATTTGAAAATATGAAATGATCATATAAGCCTCCCTCTGTAATAGTGATACACATTATAAAGTAGTAGCATAACAGTGATAAAAAATATAAAGTAGCAGCGTAGGAGTCAGTGATAAGAGGTGATCAGCAGCACTACAGGCTGAATCCACCTTTAGCTGCCGATTCTGTAATCTGGATAGAACTGGTTGGCGACCAGTGTAGGGCCACTGAGGTAAACTTCGGCCTTGAACTTGGAAACACAAACAGGTGCTGTGTTCCTCTGGGTGCTGTGGTTATCTAAGCCTGTTCAGGCGAGTTTAGCCCACAAAGCCAGCTTTAAACTATCTAACCCAATCCTGTGGAAGGATGAGTCATTTAACCTGCCCTACTTATGCTGTCCACTTGACTGAAGCCAATTTTATAGTGACCATGTACTGTACATTATAGTGACCATAGCGGGTTTATCTAATGCTCAGTCTCTAATTGTGTTGCTCCATCAGAGGTCATCAGACTTTTATCATGTTTTCTATACCGATCGTTGAAGGCCCTTGGCCTCTGTGGAGCAAAGGTCAACCTTTAGCTCCATCTGTGTCCTAAAGGCTGCATCCCAACGAAGCTCTTACCTCAATGTACACAATGTCTTGAGCTCAGCTCCACCTCTTATATCAGACGGAGGGACATGTTTGATCTGAGCAAATGTCGGTGACCTGGGCCTGCGCAGTTTCCAGCAGCCAGTTCACGTCTTCCCTTGTTTCATCTAGTTTGTGTTTGATAATGGGTCTACCTCTGACCTCTTTCAGGCACAGACAAACTGCTGTCCACTTTAGCTGAGCGGCTCACAATACAGACTTTGAAATTGGTAGAGCTTTAATTAACGATTAATATGATAATTGAATAGTTGGCAGATCTTTGTTTAGATCCTTTTGGGATCAAACAAACAATTTTAAAACATTTAAATTGTTTAATTGTTGTCATAACAGATTTAGTCATAAAACCTCTTCTCTGGATGTTTAAGTCTTTATAAGGAAAAAAAATAAAAAAATAAAACTCAATCTAAATTGGTTGACAACTCAATAGTTGTCAATGAATTGATTAATTTGTTACAGTCATTTAAATTCAGAATTTTGCTGTCAACTAATATTACTTGACTCTATCTTGTTCACTTGACTCCCTACAAATGAGCCATATGAGTGAGCGATGCATGTACAGCCGTTTTCCCTGTGCACTCTGCAGGTGCATCACCTGCACAGTCTATCAGAGACACATCTTCATTATTGGATCTTCCCTTTGTAAGAGGAGCAGCAAGATTTCTGGAAGTTCACAGATGAGAACAAAGGCCCGGGGCTGCCACATGGATGGAGTCTAATGTGGTTAAAAACAGTGTAAAAGTACTGTGGCTTTTATTAGCAGAGGAGTGCATCAATCATTGGCTGGACAAGTGCTTTTTAGAATAAGGAAGTCTGACATAAACGTTTAAAAGACAAGTGATGAAAACATTGATTTAAAATTCCTTAGTTGTTGACTAAAAGGGGAGCAGCATTATATTATTATTTCTATTTCTATCCATCCATCCATCCATCCATTTTCTGCCCTTTAATCCATTTCTGGGTCAGGGGGGTGGCAGTCAGAGATGCCACCCAAGTCTCATAGCACCAGCCCCTCACTGACCCTCTGCAGGTGGTGAGTCCACAGGAGGACGGCTGCTCTCTGAGTGTGAGCATAGCCTTGATCTTTCAGTGGGGGCTTTTTGGGCAAAGTGGGGTTAAGTGTCTTGCCCAAGGACACAACGACAGCAGTCATCAGTGGGAGTCGATGGAGAAGGTGCAGAGGTGGGATTGAAACCCACGACCTTCTGGCCTTAAGGCCAATGCTCTACCAACTGAGCTACTGTCGCCCTATTTCTACTATTCTATTCTATTCTATTTCTACTTACATCTAAAACTTCCCTGTCATACTTTAGCTCATGGGAATTTTCTGAAAGAAGCATATTAATATGATAAATGGGAGCTGAAACTCTCTCAAAACTCCAGCAAATACATTGCATCAATAAATGCATTTAATGAAGCAAATTAATTTGCTGGAGTTGAATCAGCCATAGTTTTTGTAGTGTAAAGTTTGCTCTCTGCTCCACCTACTGTATGTTGCTTTGGATCCAATATTATGAAAAAGTATGTACTGCTTTGGTTGCATACAGAGAATATCTTTTTGTATACTGTGGTTTAGTATATATTTCAAACTTGTACTCCACTCAAAACAATAAACAGGTTTAAAAATAAACAACAATCCACAATTTGAAAAGGGGTTGGACGAAGGAGACGTCTTTCCCCATGTCTTGATACTGAGCAACAAACTATTATTGGACCTCAGTCCATAAGAAATTGTATTAAAACAATACAATTAAATAAATAGTTATGATTTTCTTGATGACTTAATCTGTTAATCAAAGAAGACAATAGTTGTATGCTTATTCGCAATTTCTGTTATCTGCACTGTTAATAATGGCTTTTAACAATTTATAATGGAATCTTCTAATCTTCAGTGTCAATGGTTTTAAGACTGCTATTTTGGCTGCAACGTTCTGTTTGGGATGAACAATATACAGTGTTACTTGTACTAGGACTCACACCTGATGATGTAAACACCAGTTGCATCACTTTTGCTTTTTTCTGTTCATAGATTGGTTGGCTCAAGGGGGTTGGACAGTCCAATAATAAGTCCTCTATCTCCTCTCCACATTAACAAAGGCACAATTCCATTGGAGCCATATGAAAACACTTTGACAGCTTTGAGTCCCTCCTTCACCACGAGGGGTTAAGTCAGTTTCCCAGAACGCAGAGTCCTCCCCTGGCAGCACTCCCCCTGCAATGGTCTGTCCCAGGACCACATGACCCGCCTCTGCGTGTGTGGGTGTGTATGCGTGTATGCATGTGTGTGCGTGTGTGTATATATTGCACCATGTGGACTCATACGTCGAGTTTAGTTGGCTTTGTGTTAGCTCCTCTCCTCGAGACACTTCTCCAGAGATCCGCAGGACTATAAAGCTCTCCCTAGAACTCGCTTAAAAACTCTCCAAGAATCAACCCAAATCCAAGCCAAACATGAGCGACCTAGACGATGGCTCTTTCATGTTCACCTCAGAGTCTGTGGGAGAGGGACATCCAGGTGAGGAGATGTTACTCAGGTCATGGTGATGTCACTTTAGATTTTTAATGCATATGCTATTTAAAACCCTCAGCTTTTCTGATGATTGCTCAGTTTTGGGTCAGTAGTGATTTTTTTATCCAATATTTTTTGCAATGTGTAATACCTTTAGGGTTCTTTAAACAGAATTGCAGGTGACTTCAAGTTAGAGTACCTAACTACCTAATCCATGTCACGACTCGGCTCTCACTCTCAGTTTGGTTCTATCACTAGTTTTAATGTATTTTTGGCTGCCACCATATGACGTCAAAATAAGGTCTGCTTGAACGTAACCGTAAAGCAGGTATTGTAAACGTAGGTTGTAAGTATTGTAAACCTACGTTTACAATTCCTGCTTTACGTTCAAGCAGACCCTATTTTGATGCCATACTACCAGTTTGGGCTCAGTACGCAAAAGTAAAATGTTTTCAAAGTAAAAGATGACAACATGTTGTGGTCTTTATTTTGATACATTTTAATATAAATTCTTAATATTGTTAAAAAAAAAAATCTTCCAGGTCAAATTTCTGACTCTTAACAAAATACATCGGAAAATAATGTATCTACTTGACTCATCAAGTAGAGACATCTAATCATGGCAAAAAAATTATAAACTTAAGAACATTCTGGACTCAAATCATTATTGAAATGTCTGCCTGGTTTAAAATCCCAATTTTAAATCATATGTCACTGGCTACAGCATCAAGACCAAAATCCAATAAATCCATAAGGAACCATTCCATAGAATTCCAAGAATACTAAACAAGTCGAGTTAAACAAGTTAACTCATGTTTTCTTTCCTTTCCAACAAAAATTATAATAGGCCATAAAAAGGGGAGAGTGCGTTGTCTATTTGCGTTTGCCAAGTATCCCATTCAGCAACATGTGTTTATCGCCCCCACCCTCTGACAGCAGCTGTACGCCAGGGTGTAAAGTTGCACATAAAAAGGTACCGCGCACCCTGGTGTCACCATATCATTTTATTTTCCCACTAGTGTTGGTGCAAATTTTGCTATATGTAGTATTGGTACATGTTATTGATTGAGTCCGAAGTATTTATCAATAGGCAGTTTGTGTTAACAATCTGTTGGGTAAGAAGTGATAAACATGAGATCAGCAATTAGAGATTTTACAGGCCAATCGATAAGAACGTTATTGAATAATTGTGTTGTACAATATTTGAAAACGCAATCTACTTGTTAGCAGATAAAAGTGAAGCGGTTTCTCTGGCCTCTTTGGAAGCATGGGGTAACTCATGGCAGGATTAATCCATAATCGGGAGATGCTACGCTAAAGCTAAAGTAAACAGCAAAGGTGACTGTTATGTAAGTGGAAGAGATAGGCCCAAAGGAACAATAAAAAGGAATTGTTTCAAAAATATTTACAAGAGGCAGGAGTGAACACTTTTGTCGAGGCTAATCAAAGCAAACATTTAAGAATTGTGATATTGCCTGCAGGATCTGACCACAATCACAAATATCTCAGGCTCTACTCAGTTCAACAGAATATCTGTCTGCCATGTTAGGATCTGACACCCATATATTTCAAAGTTGTGACAATTATGATCCAGCAATAGCTCATCTATGTATTAAAACATAAAAACCAAAGTACTCTCTTAATAATCAAATGCCTTCATTAGTTATGGCATGTCAATAGACCTAGAGCCCCAACGAGTCACTTCATCAGGACAACTACAAAGTGCTTATCCAGGTCTTTGATATGTTATGTAAACTAAGGTTTTTTATATGCCCCGAAATTAAGGTTGGTAATTACTTAATTATATCCTATTTTTCCCAAGATGTAAAATGTAAATTACGCCTTTCAATAGACATTAAGTGGATTCACATCTCCACAAATGAAGTTTTGTCCTAATTGTCTTAGTTGAAGTTGAGTGAACGCTCTTCATACTTGTTTCACCATATAGTTTTTACTATGGGGCAACAGTGGCTCAGTTAGTAGAGCACTGGCCTTTGAGCATGACAGTCGTGGGTTCAAGCCCACCACGAGACCTTCTCCACCGACTTCCACTGATGTGTGCTGCCGTTGTGTCCTTGGGCAAGACTCTGAAATCCACATTGCCTGGAGCCCCCGCTAAAAAAGTCAAGGCTGTATCGTCACTGACAGAGCAGCCAACCTCCTGTGGACTCACCACCTGCAGGAGGATCAGTGAGGGGCTGCTGGTCGGTGAATTGGGTGCAGCTCTGACTGCAACCCCCCCCGGACCCATAAATGGATTAAGGGGGAGAAAACGGATGGATGGATGGTTTTTACTTAAGGTGTTATTACACATTCAAAAACGGCAAATCTAAATTGTCTCTTATCATTTTAATGGGAAGAAATATTGCATAATAGATATTTGGGCTGGGCAATAAATCGAATTTTGGCAATTAATCGGCTTTTGAAAAAAATCGAATTCGTGAAAAATGTGAAAATCGTGAAATCGAATGAGGGATATTGCGAGAGTTCCAGCAGCACATCAATTATACTTGCGATATCAGCACAGTCTGTACAAGACTTTTATAATATGTATTGGGGGAAACAGATAAAAAATAGTTTTGAAACTTGAATATTGAGCGGGAAGATAAAAAATATTTTAAGGGCAAAGTCTGTCTAGAGTGACTTTAATGAAAATGATCGTCCAAAGCAGGAAATAAAATCGAGATTTTACTTTTTTGCCATATCGCCCAGCCCTAATATATAAATTTTTTTAGACAAAAAATATATGCAGTTGGGTCTTTAATCCTTGTGTGCATAACCTTACAATTATCTCTATGCAGACAAAATCTGTGACCAGATCAGCGATGCTGTCCTGGACGCTCACCTGAAGCAGGACCCAGACGCCAAAGTGGCTTGTGGTGAGAACAAGACAAGACGACATACTTGAACAAGATGAAGCTGAGGGAGAGCAGCTGAAGAACACAGGGCTATAGCATGACATAGAGCATGTGTGTGTTGGCAGAGACTGTGTGTAAGACTGGCATGGTGCTGCTCTGTGGGGAGATCACGTCCCGCGCTGTGGTGGACTACCAGAGAGTTGTGAGGGACACTATCAAACACATCGGCTACGACAACTCCGATAAAGGTATGACAGCTACGTGCACTTAAAGGCGCTATACCCGTTTCTGCAATGTTTGAATGTTTAGCACCGCCCCCCAACTCGCTCAATGGCTTCTCATTTCCCCTACGCTCTCATCCCACAGAGCCACCTAGTTTTATTTGCAATCTGATACATATGCTAACATTAGCATTAGCGCAACTTCTTGTAAGGTGTGCAACAATCACTGATGAAATGGCACTAAAGCAACGCACTGCTAACACAATATATAAGTAAAAGAATACCGCTAGTTTCGCGTTCGAATGTATTAGTTTAAAACATTAGAATATATCCTAATATTTAATTATAATTTGTTATAGAGCTCCTCAAAGCAGCAGCACTCCATTCAGATTCAGATTCAGACTCATTTATTTGCCATTTGCAGTAAAACCACATAGGAAAAACTGTGCAAGACTACCCCAGTGTGCACCAGACGACACACACCAGAGCTCTTGCCACGGCGCCATCTTTACGGCGGCATGCGCGGCATTACTCCGCAAGTACAACAAGCTATCAGCGCCTGTCACTACACACTTGTCTGTGTAGAGAAGCTAGCGGAGCTAGCCACGCTCAATAAACAACTACATATCTATCAATCAACACCATTAAACGTCAATCGGACAATACAGTACACATATACATCCTTAACACACATGCACGGACGATTTCAGAATTTGCTGTTAACGTTTTCATGACAAAAATACTGTTTTAATGTGACAAAAAGCGATTGCGAAAAACCCGGAAGTTACCATGAAGCAACTAGCTAGCTTAGCTGTTACCTGAAACCTTTGGGAGCTAACTATTTTATTTGCGGTCATTAAATACATTTCGAATTATAAGGGTTGTCTATTATTTGCTCAAATATGTATATATTTTTTATTTTAGAATTATATTCGAATTTTGAAGTCGAAGCAGGACGCAGGCTGTTCGCTGCTTGTTCTGTGAGTGGAGGAGAACAAACGGCCCGCTAAGACTCTACTCAGCACTTTTCACTGCTTGTAATACTTACACAGCTGAATCAATTACCTCAAGTTTTCAATTAAATGATGTATTATGATACAACTTGTATGTAGTATAAAGCATTTTTATGAACTACTTAGAAAAAAAATCGGGTATAGCTTCTTTAAAGGCCATACAGTATGTTATCCGACACGTTTCAACCATGATTTAATTCTGTATGCTATGTTTAAGGTTTTTTTTTCTTTTATCATTGTACCAGCAAAGCGTTTCATTAACCTTTCATTACATATTCACTAGATCTGTGGTTCTCAACAGGTGGGTCAGGATCCAAAAGTGAGTCACAGGATTTCTTTGAGTGGGTCTACAATAGTGCAAAAAAGTATCTAAATTCACTTACTTTTGAAGAGGTAGTACTATGCTTGGGACAATTTACAAACATCTCCCAAATGTCTCATGCTGCACTAAAATATTTATTTATTTATTTATTTATTTAGAGGATAAGCCCCTTGAGATGAACCATGTCATTTTCGAGGGGGTCCTCGAGATATCACAGATTTACTTTAGTCAAAGGCAAGCAAAGCGGCTTTAAAGGCTATTCTCTGAGCCACCGGAAGCCAGTGCAAAGAACTGGGTATTGTAGTATTATTTAATGACTAAAAACAAATACTTCAATTTTGGCTCAATTTCTGTAGAAGGCTTGGTCTTGTGGTGGGTCCTGGCAAATAAAAAATAAAAAAACCATGTACTATAATTGAAAAATGAAAGTAACCCTTTTCCAGGACATAGACATACATATTGCTTTCGGTGAGATAAGCGAGCATGTGCGTGTGTGCGTGCAGGGTTTGACTACAAGACGTGTAACGTGCTGGTGGCCTTGGAGCAGCAGAGTCCGGACATCGCACAGGGAGTGCACGTGGACAGACGGGAGGAGGACATTGGAGCAGGAGACCAGGTGCGTTCACTTATAAGACCCACTACATTAAGGCTGGGGTAACTAACTTTCAAACCAACAGAAACATGGAACAATGCAATTAGTTCCAATAGTTTTCACACAAAAAATATTTTTGGCCTTGGTCACTGCTTGAGATCAACTTTCAGCAGTGAAAGGACATAAAGGAAATAAATTGAAGACAACATGTTGTGGTCTGATTTGTCCACATTTTTATTTTTGACAGACTATGTATTGTTTATGAAATAAATGTGACGTACCCCAGCGTTAAAATAGATTCAAACCCCATAACAGCAATATCCTCCTCTCCGTCTTTATACAGCCCCAGAGACTCTGGTTCAAACTCTAAGCAAATACTTTTATGCCCCTGCCATAACATAATGCAAACACATCACCTAAGGCTCCCTCTACTGGATCTAAATATAACTACAGGCTAGAAAGTTGTAGTCTAGGTAAACTCAAAGTTTAACCACTTGTGGCATCATGATTGCTCTTGTTTGTCGGTACAGGGTCTCATGTTTGGATACGCCACAGATGAGACTGAGGAGTGCATGCCCCTCACAATCATTCTCGCTCACAAACTAAATGAGAAAATGGCTGACCTCCGGAGAGACGGGATCATCACGTGGCTTCGGCCGGACTCCAAAACACAGGTCCGATGAGGGCCCAGAGCACAGAATGTCACTGTTCTCACTATGACTGTACAGTCATATCATGTGTATCATGTGCAGGTGACCGTGCACTACGAGCAGAAGGACGGAGCCGTGATTCCCAAAAGAGTCCACACTATCGTCGTCTCTGTGCAGCACGACGACCACATCTCCCTGGAGGAGCAGAAGAGGGTGCTCAAGGAAAAGGTACAATACCCATCTGTAATCTAATGTTCTGAGAGAAGTATGTTGTGACTGAACACTGCCTCCGTCAGGTCATCAAGGCTGTTGTGCCTGCCAAATATCTGGATGAGAAGACCATCTACCACCTGCAGCCCAGTGGGCGCTTTGTCATCGGCGGACCTCAGGTGAGCTTCTGCGCCCAGGTTTTAGCAGGAAGGTAGTCCTGTTGTATTGGTCCATATTAAATGACCCTGGCAGCACCAGTGGAAGAATGAGGACAATTGTGAGGGGCATTACTTACTGGATTGCAATTTTTAAGCAGGTGATTTTCATTTGTGGAGAACACTGAATAAATACAGTGTACTTAAAACAAAGGAAGGTTGCTCACCGATCATCTGTACTTCAGTTAGCAGGTTTTTCGATGTTTCATCCTTATTCTGAAGAACTTTCTCAAGGAAATGAAAGGACAGCAACCTTCCTTTGTTTTGAATATTCCGTGTACGACAGAGCTTACACAAACTTGCACAAACAGTGTACATACTTGACAGGGTGATGCTGGAGTGACAGGCAGAAAGATCATCGTGGACACATATGGAGGCTGGGGCGCTCACGGAGGAGGAGCTTTCTCTGGCAAAGACTTCTCCAAAGTGGACCGCTCTGCAGCGTACGCGGCTCGCTGGGTGGCAAAGTCTCTGGTGAAAGCCGGGTTGTGCCGGAGAGTCCTAGTCCAGGTTAGACTCCCTCCACTGCCTAAGCCTTCTTTCACACATTTACCCCGTGCTATGACATCTGCATGTCTCACAGGTGTCGTATGCCATCGGAGTGGCACACCCTCTCTCCATCTCCATCTTTACATACGGCTCTTCAAAGAAGTCTGAGGCAGAGCTGCTGCACATTGTCAACGATAACTTTGACCTGAGGCCCGGTGTCATCGTCAGGTACTCATTTATATATAATTTGAAATGTTAAAAGGTCCTACAGTATATTTAGCTTTTCTAGCTCAAAAATTAGGGGTGAAGTCAGCTCTATTTAAATGCTTGGACCACCCACGCGATGACGTAGCCTCTTTTTCAAACAATAACAATCTATAACATAGAACCCAGAGCCCCTCCAGAATCAGACCCTAATATTTTAGTTAACAGTTGTACACGACACGTCGAGTTAGCTGCCTTGTACATACAGATCAGGGCTCTTCATTGGCGTCTTTTATTGTGGAAATAACACAGGTGTCCAGATCAGTTTTTGAGTAAGTCCAGTTTTACAAGCAATCTTTGAAGTGTCTCACAGAAACACAGATCCAGATCCAGTGAATAGAAAGTTCATCTACACTCATGCAAAGTGTAGCTGAACTTCCTAGCAAATTCATATAGTTACACCCAAAAACACCTCCTGAAGGCGGGCTTCTGGAGCTTGAGCTACGTGTGAAAGTGTCTTATGCAACAACGTGAATCAGGTCATTTTTGTGCCTCTAGAGAATAAAAGAGAAAGATCGTTCTCTAACTAAAGCTTGAGGGAATCAAGGAAAAAACGACTCGTGTATGAAGGCCAAATAGCACTGTAATGATGTTTAAAACCAGAGAAGTCAAAAAGTTTGCTATGGTAAATGTGTCATATAAATATGGTTGGAAATAGGAAACTATTATTTTTTTTAGCATTTTTAAAATGTAGCTTTAGTGTAGCAGTTTCAAGTTCATGGAAAAAAAACATGTAGGCAATACTTCATGCATCGACTCGAAAGGGGCTAAATGTAGTCATGAGAATTGTTTAAATTCTTACATCATTAGATCTGGGCAGCAGGTCACAGATCAACCACAGTTGTTTGTGTTTCATAATTAAGTCTGTAATATTGCCAGGGAGCTGAACCTGAAGAGGCCCATCTATCAGAAGACAGCAGCCTACGGTCACTTCGGTCGCTCTGAGTTCAGCTGGGAAGAGCCCAAGAAACTACGCTACTAAAAGCAGCCAAAAACCTTATAGACCTACCAACTCGTTTTGGAGCAGAATTGTGATGCCACATCCCATACTTGATATGGTGCTAAATCCCAAAAACTACAAATGTGTTGTTTTCACCCAAAGTCTTAAAGCTTGACTGTGACTGACAGAGACTGCGCTTCAGAGGCATACACTTGTGAGGTCATCATTTGGTCTTCAGGGCAATTCAGAAAAGTGCCTTGACTGTTTCCTACTGCTGGGATCCTACTTTGTATTTGTGTGCAAATGAACTTTAGTTTGCCATTTAATTATTGTTGGCTACAGTTGCTCTCTATTTTGATTGAAGATTTTAGATTTGCAGGATTAATGTTATATTTATCAATCAAAGTATTGTTTTCACCAACACTATTGGGGCATTTCAGCTTCTGGACCAAAAAACTCAAGCTTGTCCTTGTACCTGGGTCCAACGAGGAGCTGAAGTCTTAAGCCTATCTGCTCTCGGATAAAGATATGTCTATGTTGAAGCATGATGGAGTGAGCAGAGTTCTGATATGTTTTAGAGACTTGAATGGGACTGGTGCTTATGTCATTGATGTAAATAATTGCCAACAATAAATAAAATTGAAAAAAAAACTGCTCTACATGGCGTTTTTGGTGAGTCACTCAAGGCCAGCAAGTACTGTACATCTAGCAGTATTTCTATTACTTTCACCCATGTCATTTTAGATGTCAATCTTAAACTCACTGGTCCCTATGGTTGAAAGGCCAACACCCTCATGATCAGATGATAGATCCTTTAAGAATAATAAATAATTTGTATCCCCTGAAAGAAATAATTGTTTTAGTTTTTGTTTCGAAAATACATGTTTGTCCAAACAGTCTTGTCTAAAGGTACACCGTGTAGTCTTTATTCCCATCTAGTGTTGCAACAAAACTTATTCAGGGGACAAGCCTCAAATATGCAAAACACACATTATCCCAAAACAATCGCCAGAATACCGTTTATCGATAGCGTGAGTTTGAATGTTCTGTTTTCTTACCGTGATGATGCAGATTCAGCACCGAGGAAAAAAGCTAGTAGTAATATTCTGAGCTTTTAGCCACGGCTGTATATACCCATGTCCTGGATACTCTGATCATGGTTTTAAACTGCCACAGACGTCCCATTCCTCCATGAGTCTCTTCTCTTCACACCACGTATGCAAAACATATGTGAGAGCCTCTGCAGCGCGTGGGTGCCGCATGGACTTTCAGCCTCCACGCACGTGCGGTGGAAGCACATTTGTTTACATTTTAGTACTACCCTGTTAAGTGACCAAACGTATGCAGAGATCCGGTCATTTATCAAACTATAAAGGTGTGAGATTTCATAACACTTTTAAGCAACTTTTGTTAAAGTTACTCATCATTCTATCAATGTGCAGAAGCCAGTACTTTTCCCTTGTTTTGTCTATCTGAAGGCCAGGCTACATGGCACTATGGCAGCTGCTGATTGGAGGTCTCCATGCCTCCGCTCTGTATAATACACTTGCATTCTGTTGTTCGTGTTGTTCGTGCTGTCTCTACCATCGACAATAAAACATGTCTTCTGTCTGAATTAAAGACGCAATCCCAGACTTGGCTCATCTTCTTCAGGTGGTGGAAGGATGCGGGCATTGTCTGTAACATCTACAGAACAGAAGACTACTTTTTTTTACACAAAACCTCAAGAGAAACCATGCATCTGGATCAGCACACTTGGACAATCTGCACAGCCCCTGATTCCAATCAGGCCTGCTGTGAGATGCTGAGACATGGACAATACCATCGTCCTCTTTTGCATGGACATCATTTGGAACAATTGGATTACACAATTTGGACAGAATTTGGAACAATTGGATATCTGAATTTGGACATCATTTGGACTGAATTGGATTTCTGAATCTGGACACTGAAGCTGAAATGTGTGATTGAAAGACACGTCACAGAAGAATTCATGGCTCGACACAACAAATGCAGCCTGAAGAAATCAACACGGAGAAGTGGGAGAGACTGTTTTCAAAGCAATATCTGGAACCACCATCAACTGATGAAGTTTGGTATTTTACTGAAGATTGTTGACGAGTTTTATGAAAGATCCGAACATGTTTTATGAGTTTTTGAAGTATTCCGAGTTCTGAGTTTTTTGAAGTACCGAGTGAAGTACCGAGTTTAAGTATTGAGTTATGATGTTATGTTGCTGTTTATCGATCCTGATGGTCACACGTGAATGTGTCTGTAACATCTAGAGAACAGAAGACTTTTTTTTACACAAAAATGTGTTTTTTTTTTTTAAGTCAAAATTGAGAAACCTCAAGAGAAACCATGCATCTGGACCAGCACACTTGGACAATCTGCACAGCCCCTGATTCCAATCAGGCCTGCTGTGAGCTGCTGAGACATGGACAACACCATTGTCCTCTTTTGGATGGACATAATTTGGAACAATTGGATTACATAATTTGGACATGATTTTGAACAATTGGATATCTGAATTTGGACATAATTTGGACTGAATTGGATTTCTGAATCTGGACACTGAAGCTGAAATGTGTGATTGAAAGACACGTCACAGAAGAATTCACTGCTATGGCTCGACACAAATGCAGCCTGAAGAAATCAACACGGAGAAGTGGGAGAGACTGTTTTCAAAGCAATATCTGAGAACCACCATCGACTGATGAAGTTTGGTATTTTACTGAAGATTGTTGACAAGTTTTATGAAAGATCTGAACAAGTTTTATGAGTTTTTGAAGTATTCCGAGTTCTGAGTTTTTTGAAGTACCGAGTGAAGTACCGAGTTTAACTATTGAGTTATGATGTTATGTTGCTGTTTATCGATCCTGATGGTCACACGTGAATGTGTGACCAGAGGGGGGAATGTGAGATTTCATAACACTTTTAAGCAACTTTTGTTAAAGTTAAACTCATCATTCTATCAATGTGCAGAAGCCAGTACTTTTCCCTTGTTTTGTCTAGCTGAAGGCCAAGCTACATGGCACCGTGGCAGCTGCTGATTGGAGGTCTCCATGCCTCCGCTCTGTATAATACACTTGCTGTCGTAACATCCCTTGTTCGTGTTGTTCGTGCTGTCTCTACCATCGACAATAAAACATGTCTTCTGTCTGAATTAAAGACGCGATCCCAGACTATGTCATCTTCTTCAAAGGATTCATTCCTTGGCCACCCGGTTCGAATGACTGGGAATTGTGGACTGGGACCACTGTCACAGACGACATTTTGTCCTTCAAAGCAACCCTAGACTGCAATATACATATCAGTGCAGTATAGAGGCGTTTGCCTGCCAGGCTGTATGCGGGACCTTGTGTGCGACTCTTGTCCTTTTCTTATTCTTATTTTTCTTTTGAGACCGAAATGAAAGATAAAACGAACCCTTTGGACTCAATGGTCATTTTGAGGGGGCAACAAACTCCTAGTGTTTCTGCTCGTTTGCTTTAAGTGTATAAAGCATCTGGATGGCTACTACATCTCACTGCTACGGAGTTCGTGTGTGGATTTTAATCGTGAGTGGATTTCATTGCTACCACGAGACGCCAGCACGGAGCTATTGGAGCTGAGGCCAACAGTAGCCGCACCGAGGAAGACAGAACACTTCAAGTCTCAACCAAAGCAGAGGTAAACTCTCCAACTATGCCAGACTTCAATCAACAAGTGTCCGAAGGGGAAAATATGTTGGAGGAAATCGAGGGAAAGTTACTTACCTTACCTGCTGTGGGACTCATTGACATTTGCACTACACTCGGAATTACTGTCACTGGAGATGAGCGCTCACCTCGAAAATTGAGGATATAGCCTAGTGCAGGGTTTCTCAAACTGGGGTACCCCTAGTGGTACGCGGGCGCCCTCTAGGGGTACACCAAAGAATCTGTGAAAAAAAAAAAAAAATCTAAAAAAAAAAAAAAAAAATTCACAATTTTACCAGGAAAGTCCCATTGAGATTAACTCATTGGCAGATATGGATGTCATTTGAGGACAACATTGTTTTTCAATCTTTTCCTGTCAGTCTGTGTCCCCTGTATCATACAGTCTGGGGTTTGGCTGTAGACAGTATTTTATTAAGCCAGCAGGTGGCAGCAGAACTCCCTGGTTTGGTCAAAGATCACTCTGAGCAGGAGAGACAGAGGTGAAGCAGACATGGAGTAATATAGTCAGGGTCAGGCTACATGGAGTAATATAGTCAGGGTCAGGCTACATGGAGTAATATAGTCAGGGTCAGGCTACATGGAGTAATATAGTCAGGGTCAGGCTACATGGAGTAATATAGTCAGGGTCAGGCTACATGGAGTAATATAGTCAGGGTCAGGCTACGTGAGTGAGTGAGTGAGTGAGTGAGTGAGTGAGTGAGTGAGTGAGTGAGTGAGTGAGTGAGTGAGTGAGTGAGGTGAGTGAGGTGAGTGAGGTGAGTGAGGTGAGTGAGGTGAGTGAGGTAGTGAGTGAGTGAGTGAGTGAGTGAGTGAGTGAGTGAGTGAGTGAGTGATGGGCACCATGGGCGGCATGGTGGCTGAGTGGATAGCACTCTCGCCTCTCAGCAAGAAGGTACTGGGTTCGAATCCCGGCCGGACCAGGGCCTTTCTGAGTGGAGTTTGCATGTTCTCCCCGTGCCTGCGTAGGTTTCCTCCGGGTACTCCGGTTTCCCCTACCACTAAAGATATGTACAATAGGACTGGCATGCGCCTCCTGTACTGGCGATCCTGCTCCCATCTCTGTGTGGAGTGAGAGGACAAGTGCCCAAAAAATAACAATTGTAAACCGCTTTGTGACTCTGGTCTGTGGAAGGCGGTATATAAATAAAGCTTACTTACTTACTTACTTACTTACTCAATCTGGATCTAAAAGCATTCAAGGAAATAAGATCAGATCATTTCTAGTCTTTTTGCAACACGTTCCATGTAGAAGGAGCAGTTTTTTTTCCCCAGTTCTGTGCAAAAGGAACAGAGAGCAACAAACGATCATTTGATCCAAACCATGAGAACATGTCTCTGTGAGTAAACGACAGATGTAAGAGGGCAGCAGAGCAAGCCTTAGAAACTAAAGTGCACCAGAGTCCAAACCTTCTGTGGACAAAGATCCCACTCCAGAATATCACTCACAGTGAGGCTTTGCAGTTCGCAATGAATGAAACATTTAAAACAATTTTTTTTCCTATATTTAAGCGCAGTCTTACTGTTGAAATTGTGTAAAATATTACATTAAATATACTTCTTTAGGAATGAAACCTCTGCCTTGTTATTGATGAATACTTCGGCTTACTACGCTACTGTGTGGTGTTGGTCATTTGTGGTGGTACTTGGAGAGGCAAGTATTTTCTGAGGGGGTACTTGGTGTGAAAAGTTTGAGAACCACTGGCCTTGTGTATACTTGCGCGGTGGACCTACGTAAGCACAATTGATGTTATACTGGCGCGTTCACCTTGGAGTTTTGAGGAGAGTTTTGTAATCCCTCAACAAACCACATGAGGGCGATCACACAGGAGCGGTCCCATTTACGCTGCTACTTTGTCCTCTTCAGAACAACAATAGCAAACAAAGCTGTTTGAGCTCATTACACGTGTTTCTACTGTAGGTTTATGTGATAGTTTTATGGATTCATTATTTTATAAGTCCTTTCAACTGTGATGCTGTGAATAAAGATACAGTTCTTGTTGGAAACATAGTTATTATTAAATAGTTTTCAGCACAAACAGCAAAACAATAATAGTGGTAAATATCTGAGACAAACATGAACGATTTACGAGTGCAGGAGGAAAGCAACAAACGCAGCTACGATTCAAACAATACAGGAACAGAGCAAAACAAACGACTGCACAGTTTATAAGTTATATATATGTTAGATAGTCCACAGTCAACAGTCCATAGTTCTCAGCCCAAACTGCTTTTTCTTCGAAGCGTGAAGCAGTCTGCTCCATAGTGCCTCGTCCATGTCCCTGCTGCAGCCGCTCCGTGCTTCCTTCCAATACACACACACGGACCAATCACAGCGGAGCTTCCGTGCGGCGACCCTTACGTAGTTAGAAAATTTCGATGCTGCGCGGCAGGCAACGTAAGGGCCTTGCGGTGACCAACGCGTTGCGCAAGTGACGTCACCTCCGTAAGCGCCACGCGAGTATACACTAGGCTTAAGGGCCTTGCGGTGACCAACGCGTTGCGCAAGTGACGTCACGTCACCTCCGCGCCGCGCGAGTATACACTAGGCTTTATTCTAACGCATCTGGAGAGTGATGATACCACATCGCTAGAGGATGAAGGAATGTCCATATTATTGGAAGTAAATGATAAGATTGATGAACTGAGAAAAACTACTTCAAGGTCTGGTCCCACGTCACCACACCGCCCTCAGGTGGCTACAGCTGGCACTGTACACAACCGTGGACCTGTGATAACACAACCCATCTCTACCACTGTTTTTGGTGCTAATGTGTCTGAAAGGACTCAACCTGTTGTTCACCCAATGTACAGGAAGGACTTAGGACTTACTTATTAATGGACACATTGGTGAACATAATCAGAAAGATAAGCTGGGATATGCAAGTTTGGAGAGACAGATTACAAAAGCTTTAAAGAAAGGATATGATGAATGTGAGATCGTTGATGCAGTAATTCAAGCTATCATCCCAGGCACAAAACTAAGGAGCTATCAGAGATGAACTGTCCTTACAAACTCTGAAACAAATATTACGCACTCATTTTGTTGAAAAAGATGCCACGGAGCTGTATCACTCCCTCACACGTGCTGCACAAGAACCTAGAGAGACTCCAGTCCAGTTCTTGGTCTGAGCGATGGACCTGAGGCAACAAATACACTTTGCTTCAGAAAGGGCAGACGTTGGATTACAGTACAGCCCAGAACTCATTCAAAACCAGTTCCTACAAACCATACTTACCGGACTCCAAGACGACACCATATCTGCAAATTTCAAAAATGCCAGATGAAGTCCTGCTGGAGAAGATGACTGCTGCCTATAATCTGGAGATGGAGAGGAAGAGCAAGCTGGCAGCAAAATCAATGGTCAAGGTGTCAGCGGTGAGTCATGATTCACATTTCACTAACGCTGAGAATTGCAGTCTTGACAGCACCTCTAAAAATGATAAGAAACAAGAACAATCTCATAAACGTGACACGTTAATAGAAAAAGTGGAACAAGGGAATAGAGCGATCTGTGAAGCTATTCAAAACCTCACCACGCAGCTGTCAGGTCTGCATCGGCCCCCCAGCTCACCAGCACCACGGGGACGGGGTGACCGCAGCTACAATAGACAACCACACAGGATACGCTCCAATCGACTGTGTCACCAGTGCCAGAGGACCAATCCAGAAGGGAGATGCAACCACTGCTACAAATGTGGGAGCGTAGATCACTGGGCCGTTGGCTGTCGCAGAGCACCCAGAAAGGCTTCAGCCTCAATTAACAAGATTGAGAGTAGTGTACATCTTGGTAAGAACACAGATCTATTCTGCACTACAGCACCCCTCACTGGCAAACAATATCAGACAGCTAAACTTGTGGGGAGGAGGTGCCTTGTTCGAGCCACAATGAACAATGTTGACACCAGAGTGCTGTGGGACACTGGCTCACAAGTGTCCATCATCGGAACAGATTAGAAGTACTGTAACTTACCTGATGTTACAGTGAGGCCTGTGGAGGAGTTACTGGGGGAGGGACTAGACCTGTCTGCGGCAAATGGGACACAGATCCCCTACCAAGGCTGGATTGAAGTGGAATTTACATTGTGTAAAAATGCTGTGGCCAGGATGAGCGATAAACCTTTGCTTGTCCCAATTCTTGTGGCTTCTTTCGAGCTTGATTATTGGATTTTAATGTTATTGAAGAGCTGGCGCTGACAAGTGGGGACTCTGAGAGCTGTCTCCCTGCCGGTCACATGATAAAGAGACTCTGTTCAGCACTTGAAGTGGGGGCAAAAACTAACAGTTTTAAAAAAACGGCCACCTGAGAACAATTACATAGCTCGCATAGGTAAAATACCAATCACTGTCCCAAAGAATGGTACAATCCAAGTGTAATGTAACAACGGGTGCGCTTTGTGGACATCAAGTCATGTTGGAACCCAACCCAGAAACACCGTGGCCAACAGGACTCAAAGTGAGAGAGCAGCTGCTTGAATATCCACAGGCCAACACGAGGATTAGAGTGACGGTTGAAAACGCCACAAACTCTGATATTACACAGGGCTTGACATTAACGGTTGTCCGCTTGCCCGGGGCAAGTAAAGAATTGGGACGGGCAAGTGCGCCGTTTTAGCAAGTTGCCCGATCGGGCAAGTGATGTGTTGCTTTAACGCATTCAGGCTGGGAATACATTTCTTCATAGTTTTTTGAATAATTCTCTTCATTAGTAAATTGTCTGGATCAATGAAATGCATCTGGATAAACCAGGAATTAAAATGTTCCGCGGATCCGCGATTTACAACTTTTTTTCCGCTGAAAACGTCATTTCTGTTAAATGTGTGACTGCGGGCACTTTCTGTTGTTTGCATTACTCGAACGGCATTCACTTCCTCCGCTCTGAGCCTAGCAGCTGTGGCCGCTTTGTACCATAGACGCCGCGGAGACGCGAGGGAAGAACCATAGAAGCGCAGACAGAAAACATAGACGTGCATTCACTCACAAAATTAAAGCTCGGGTACCTAAAATTTGCCCTTGCATTTGACAATGCATGTTGGTTGTGCACCAAAGTAAAATGTTGTGAACAAATCCAATTGAACACACCACAACAGGCGTCTTGTTTTTTGCATACTTAAGAGCCCTGGGAGTCATGATTTGACTTTTTGGGCAGAGAGTGGTTTTTTTATTATTATTATATATTATTAATCTTTATCAAGAACACAATACAACACAGTCCATTGTTAAAAGAAAGTATCCAATACACACAATATATTGCATATTGAAAATTATACATCCACACATTTAGCGCCACTTGATTGCCAAACTCTTGTTAACTCATTGTATTGAGACATTTTTGGGCAAGTAACTTTTGACTTTGGGAGAGTAAAATATAAATGGTACTTGCCCAAAGGGTAAGTGGCTGACAAAGCTTAATGTCAAGGCCTGTTACACTATAGCCGCACAACACTGGGCTGGTTACATAGTGTTGATGCTGTCTATCCATTGGAGCCCAAGTCCTCAGAGTGTCAGCCACCAGGGGACAGCACCACATCATCACTAGAGGGGGAGCCCTGGGACTCGCCTGTGGACCTGAGTCACCTCTACACAGAGGAGCAGCACAGAGTGCGGCAAATGCTGAGGGAGGAGTGTGACGCGATTTCCAGAGATGAGTGGGACGCTGGCTGTATTACTGGCTTACAGTTGGACATAAATCTGAAAGTTCCTGTTCAAAAAACGTATAACTCCATTCCACGACACCTGTATCAGGAAGTCAAGTCTCACATTCAGGACTTGTTAGACAGAGGCTGGATAACAAAATCATATTCTTCCTACTCATCACCTGTAGTTTGTGTCAGGAAAAAGGATGGCACTCTCCGCTTGTGCGTCGACTACTGGCTGCTGAATGAGAAGACTGCCAGACCGTCATCCCATCCCCAGGATCCAAGAAATCCTGGAAAACCTGGGAGGGAATTCCTGGTTTACAGTCTTAGACCAAGACAAAGCATACCACCAAGGCTTCATGGGTGAGAAAAGCAGAGCATGCACAGATTTTATTACACCTTGGGGTCTCTATGAGTGGCTCAGAATCCCATTCGGACTCTCAAATGCCCCGGCTGCTTTTCAACGCCACATGGAGGGATGTCTGGGAGACCTCAGGGATGAAGTCTGTGTGCCTTATCTGGATGATGTCCTTGTTTTCAGCCGCACTTTTGACCAACATGTGCACAATGTCAGACAAGTCCTGCAGAGACAGAAAGCCTGTGGGATAAAGCTCAGGGCTGAAAAATGTGAGTTATTCAAGCCACAAGTGACGTATGTTGGGCGTGTCATCTCTGCCGAGGGGTACAGGATGAACCCGAAAGAGGTGGAGGCAGTGAAGGCACAGCAGACCCCAGATACAGTGAGGGAAGTGAGGAAGCTCCTTGAATTTCTGAGCTGCTACAGAACATACATCCAGGACTTCTCCAGGATTGCAAAGCCACTGTACGAGCTGCTGACAGCCCCCACCTTCCCTACCTGTTCAATGGACAGAGACCCACAAAGGCATTTTAGAGACCACCACAGACCAACTCACAACCCCACCTGTTATGGCTTACCCAGACCTGGAAAAGCCCTTCATCCTCCACGTTGACGCTTCCGAAGAAGGACTCGGTGCCGTGCTGTACCAGCGTCAAGGTGGTGGCTTGAGAGTGATTGTCTACGGATCCAAAACCCTGACACCTGCAGAGAAGAACTACAAGCTGCACTCAGGTAAACTGGAATTTCTTGCACTAAAATGGGCTATCACTGAATGTTTCCGTGACTACCTGTTTCATGCTCCACACTTCACTGTCTACAGCGACAATAATCCACTTACATATGTCACAAAGTCTGGAAAGCTAAACGCCACTGGTCATCGATGGGTGGCGTAGCTGGCAGACTACAGGTTCACTTTAAAGTACCGGCCAGGAACTGTTAACAGGGATGCTGACTTTTTATCTCGCAGACCCAAGCCGATTGAGACCATCCTAAAGTGCACCGAAGAATGTGGGCAAGAGGCCATGGACAGCATTTGTAAAGCCATCAAGAGCAGCCAAATGGGTGAGATTAACTGGATTTCTGCTATCACCTGTAATGCTGATGTTTTGCCACAGGAGGGCAGCCTTGTACCACCTATCCAGCCCCTCTCTATCCATGATATTCAGGCCCAGCAGAATGCAGATAGTCATCCAGAGGGTCTCCAGCCTGAAACGCAAACACGTCTACCTGAAATACAGAGACAAAGCAGCCGAAGATGAACATGTCAGAGCTCTCCTGAGGGAATGGCCAAAGTTGCAGCTGGATGAAGATGGACTCCTGTGGAGGAGGACCAACAATAAGACGCAACTTGTGGTGCCACAATCCATGAAAGCCCTGGTGTACAAGTACCTCCATGAGGAGATGGGGCACTTGGGCGCTGACCGGATGGTTGTTTTGGCCCGAGAACGCTTCTTTTGGCCAAAAATGAGACAGGAGATGGAGCACTACGTCACACGTGTGTGCAGCTGCGTTAAGATTAAAAATCCCAACAGTCACAAGGACACCACTGCAAAGTATCGAGACGTCTGCACCATTTGAGCTGGTCTCAATAGACTTTGTACATTTGGAGAAGTCCAGGGGAGGTGAAGAATATATACTGGTTTTGGTGGACCATTTTACTAAATACGCTCAAGCTTATGCCACCAAAGACAAAGCTGGGAAAACTGCTGCAAAAAAGCTGTTTGATGACTTCATCCCACGCTTTGGCTTTCCATCCAGACTGCACCACGACCAAGGGCGAGAGTTTGAGAACCAGCTGTTTCAGAAGCTGCAAAAATACAGTGGTATGTATCACTCTCGCACTACACCGTACCACCCCAAAGCTAACCCTGCAGAGCGTTTTAACAGGACTCTGTTGAGCATGCTGCAGTCACTGGAGGAGACTGAGAAGACGAGATGGAAGGAGTATCTCAACAAAGTTGTTCATGCCTACAACTCCACCATCCATGAGGCGGTGGGCTACTCTCCTTTCTTCTTGCTCTTTGGCCGTGAGCCAACCCTTCCTGTTTGACCTCCTGTTTCAGGAAGCCTATGGCATCGCCCTCAAGAACATGAGGAAATCTGCAAAGAGAGGGCAGGACTACTACAACCAGCGGACTTGGAGCTCTACCCTGAAACCAGGTGACCACGTGTTGGTGAGAAATCTCACGCCTCGAGGTGGTCCGGGAAAACTCCGTAGTCACTGGGAGGACACTGTCCATGTTGTAAGGGAGAGCAAAGGCCCTGGGAGCCCTGTGTACACAGTTGAGCCTCTGAATGCTGCAGGGAGAAGAAACCTGCTGTTACCCTGTCCTTACCTGGTTGAACCTGCCCCTGTTGTCCCCAGTCCTAGGAGGAGAAGAGAAAGAGCCAGAGTGTCACCAGAGCGAGGAAGGCAAGCCAGATGTAACACCCAGCCAGCTAGCTCAGAGAGCTCAAGCGATGATGATTACCACCTCTTCGTGCCACTCAACCCGGCTGCCTGGGCTGGACTGGCCATCGGGTGTACCGGGCAATGCCAGAAGGGCTGATGCCCATATTTGGGCTGGTCTGTTTGCCTCATACAAAAAAAATTTGTGTGAAAAGTGTCCATCCATTGAGAACTGTTCGAGGGGGCGTGCGTGTTCGCGGGGCACCTGCTGTATGTACTCGAACGGGATTCCACCACCTCAGCGGCCGCGGTGTTCCGGCATCCAGCGGCTCTGAGCTGGACGCGGGAACCGCTCACCGGGAGTCGCTCACAACACAACACGGTGAGCGCGTAGCCGCAACGTGACCATATACCCAAGACCATAAACGTGCACAGAACCATGCGTGTCTGTGCATAATTTGTGCACCCAATAAATACACCGCTGCAGGAAACAGTCCGCGTCTCTCCTCTCCTCTCGAAGTGCGACTAAATTAAAGCTCGGGTACCTACATTTTCCATTGCATTAAAAGTTCATGTTTGAGCCCAAAAGTAAAATGTTGTGAACAACTTAAACAGATTTAGAGCCAGCCAATGGCTGACATTATGCATTTCAGACTTTTTTGACCAATTCTCATCCCTGTAACAAACAGTGTTATCTGTGTCCACCTCCCTCACTCTGAGACATGTTTATTACTCTCTTGTAATGTAGACTATTGCACTTTATTTTTTTGTTGAAACTGTAGACATCCTTTCTCTCTCTCTCTCTCTTCTACAGTATGCTTCCACATACTGTATAAACCAGGGGTCGGCAACCTTTAGTGCTCCTCCAGTGGCTCCTGGAGCCTTTTCAAAAATGTCTGAAAATGGAATGGGAGGGCTATATTTTATTCCTTGTTTGAATGTGGTCTCTGTGGGAGGAAAAACATTCCTAACATATTTCAATGCTGTAAAAATGTGCATAAGTAATATTCAATTTCAACATTTCTGTCAACGTAGTGCGTCATATCCTGTGACGCAGCCCCGCGCCAGGCGGCCACTGCTGTAAACAAACCGGCGTGTGCGCACGGATCCCAAAGATAAAAAGAGAAAGACTCGATAATAAGACTGGACTAAGAACAAGACTGAACATTTGCTTTTAGTCAATGAGGAAGGACTGCTTCATGTTTGCGATGTAAAGTTTTGTTGCAACACGAGGAACAATGAAGCACTAAATACCGTTCACAGGGAGTATGTGAAGGATCCTTTCATACAAAATCCTTTTTCAGACTTCAAAAACCTCCGCAAAGACTGTGAAAGAAAAGGCCATTAAGGACATTCAGCTCCAGCAAACTTCAGCCTGTGACGTGATCGATATGAGCGGACAGTGCAGGTGTGTGACCTTTTGAGCCAAAAAGCAGATGTATTTACTGTATTTCTACAGTTGCATGAAGGCAAAAAGTCAAAGTTAAAGCAGAGTCATCACGTGGTGCGTCATTCTCTCCAGGACACGCTGCAGTGAAAACACACATTTGATAATCATGAATGCTTATTATGTATTTGTAGCCTTTACTTGGTCATTTAGATATTAGGCTAATGTAGCTACATTGTGTAACCTTCATATAAGCCTTATACAAGGCTGTTATTTTTTTGCGGCTCCAGACAGATGTTTTTAGTTTTTTTTGTCAAATATGGCTCTTTGAACCTTTTGAGTTGCCGATCCCTGGTATAAACAAACTGTAAAAAACGTGACAAAAACATGCCTGGGCCGGTAAGAAGGAAAAAATGCCCGGGCCGTTTTTTTGTCCCAGTCTAGCCCTGCCGGCTGCTGCAGACTTCCAGCCAAGGGCCCTCGTACCCAGTCAGCTTGAGCAGAGAGCTGCACCTGTGGAGAGAGCTGAAGAAGCTGTTCCAGAGGCTGATCCTGAGCCAGTGCTGGAGGCAGAGCCAGAAACGCCCACCTCTGACTCCTCTGAGGAAGCTCCAGAGCCCCGCCCAGTCAGAGCCAGACGGCCCAGGCCTGTACACCTACGATCATCTTGGTGAGCCCACTGTCCGAGAACTGCAGAGCTGTCCAGTCGGTGTGTCCAGGCCAGGTCCAGATGTGTCGAGGGTCCGAGATGACTACTGCACCGCCAACCTATATCCTTTGCACGTCGCACTTTGAAGCCCCTGTTTTTGTGCAATAGTAGTTCACATACTTTAATGGTAGTTCAATACAGTACATGCTAATTACTAATTAATTAGTCTTGTTGAACATGGTTTATGTTTCAAAATTTTGGATAAAAAGGTGTTTTCCTTGAGTCAATCCTGAAGATTGGGGGGCCCACCAGTGCTTCTATGGACTTGCCGCCCATCATCACAAATGGACTTTGTCTGGTGTATCTGGTCTAAAGAGACCTTGAATTAGTGGACTCTGTTCATTTAGTCTAGACTCTAAAAGTGCTGATAATATGAACTGTTTTGCTATAATTACGGGGCTAAGCTAAGGCGCTAGTAACTAAGAGAAAATGTCGGTTTAAATTTTTTTTTTGTGGGGGAGGGTGTTTGTCAATGGAGTATGTTATTGTGTTATTATCATATTAATAAATGTAACGTTTAGTCTAGTATGGATCTAAAAACTAGTAGTAAGCAGAGTGAAGAATGTATGAAACCACCCCCCAGCTATTAAACACAGGAAGTTAAATTAAAGCAAGAACGCAGAGAACATCTGTTTAGAGTAGCCTCAGGCCTACTCACACAGGGGCTATTTGTTTGTTCTGAAACAGAGAAGGTATTGTCTTCACCTAAGGATGTTGGGACATGTGTTTTCAATTATCATGGTCATGTGACTGTGTGCTTATCATCGATAGCCTGTTCTTGAAGCGGAGTCTTTTGCTTTTGGCTTGCCAGGGAGAGGGCCCAGATTGGAGCAACCAGTCTGCCATTTGTCTGTATCCTGTAACCTGTATTCTGTCTTTTATATATTAAACCTTTTTTATATATCTAAGCAGAATTTGTAGTGTCCATTTTTCATCGAAGGAGAAACCGTGGCTGAACTAGCGTTAACATATTTTGGTCCTTCTTGAGCCGGATGTCAAAACATCATTTTTTGGAGCTGACCATCATTCCTACTGGAGATCTGAAACAGCAGCGTGGCTTGGAGGTTGCAGGTCGAGAAACAACTGCAGCAACAGTCTCTTTGTGGGGTTTGATCAGCTTCGAATTTCGGATTGAAGACACAAAAGCCACGGACATCGCGATAACAGGCAAGTGTGAATTTACTTTTGAAGTCGGAGACTCAAAAAAGAGGCCGGGGATAACGAGGCTTATCCTTTTAATAGTCGAGGAGCTATTTCTTAGGCCTAGGATAACGAGGTTTATCCTTCTAATAGTCGGGGAGCTATTAAAGACAGTCAAGGGGGGGCCCGGAATAACAACAGGTTATTCTTTTAGATAGTCTGGAACTATCATAGACTGTAATAATAACGGGGTTATTATTGAGAGTAAGTCGGGGACTACTTTTTACTGCAGTTAAAAGTGAACGGGGTTCATTTTGAATTAAAGACGTCTGTGTGAATGTGTGTGTGAAAGGAGATCAATCTACACTTGAAGCACCGGACAACCAGAAACCTTGCGGTGATAACGAAAAGTTGTCGGCTTGGTGAAGTAGAGAAAGGATTGCATCTCATTATGTTTTAAGTAATCGTGAAAGTGGTCTAAAACAATTACATTCCTTGTGATTAAACACCCAGGAGAAACCGGATGAAACATTAAGTTTTATCTAGAAGCTTGTTTCTCGAGGAAGTGATTTGGCCCGTGAGGCATTCCACTAAGATTGTCTACAAATGTGTAATTAATATCCACTGTTGTATAAGCAATAGTTATTAAATAGAAGTTGAAGATATTTAAGTAATTTACTAAAGAGTAAATATGGGTTCATCTTGTACTAAAACGGGGGATCTAAAAGGAGATCCTAAGTTTATGCAGAGAAAAAATTCTGAATCAGTTAAGTATTTAAAAAACTGGAAGAAGAAGTATGGGTTTGAAGGTAAACTAACACTAAAAGAGTGTGAAACACTGGTGATGAAAGTTAGTTTAGGACTTAAATCCAAAAAGTTGCCATCAGAAAAACAATTGCATGAGCAGAAAATGGCAGAGCTGTGGTTAGTTGCAGCAAAGTGTAGGGATAAGCAAATTAAAGAGAAGAAGAGTGAAACGAGCCTAGTTCCCTTTACAACAGAAGAAGACAATTTGGTCCAGGCAGGGAGGCGCCATGTGCAGCAGCAGCAGCAGCAGCAGCAGGCTGTAGTACAGGCTCATAAATACACAGCGGCACCACCTCAATATACTCCACTGCAACAGACAACAAATCTATTCCCAGATAATTCTGTAAAACTGCAGGATAGTTTGTATCCACATGCAGAGCTAGAAGCAGCAGCACAGCCACAAGTCTGTGATGTACAAACACCTGTTGCTACTAGATTACGGCATCCAATGAACGCGTCGTGGAGCAAAAGTTTTGGGAACCTTTTCAGTCCAAGGGTTGACTTCTCAGAGAGAGGTGCAGATGCATTCCCAATGATAGAAGTCCCAAATCCCACTCATGATCCACAAGTGGTTGGAAGTTTGCCTACTATGTATGTCTTTCGTACTTGGACGAAAGCAGACATAATTAAAGCCACAGAAAGTGTCCCAAGCCATAGAGAAGACCCAGATGGATTTTGCGATGGTATGAGACAACTGGTGGACATGTATAGGCTTAACGGAATTGAAATTAGGGACATTTACATGACGAAAATGGGAGTTGATTGGACAAGATGCAGACAGCATTATAACCCAAATGATAATGCAAACCCACCTGTGCTTCTTCCTGCAGCAGACCCACTCATTAATGATAGATTAAATACTCTACATAATCAAATCAGAGAAATGTTCAAAACTTTACCTGACTATGGGAAGTTAGCTCAGGTAAGACAAATGGAGGATGAGACAGTAGTAGATTTTAGAGTGCGGTTTGAAACAGCCTTTAGAAAACACAGTGGGTTGAGGGACAATAATGCAGCGGAACGTGTAATTTGGGATCAACAGTTTAAACAAGGGATGTTGGCTAATTTAAGACCAGAAGTCTCTGAATGGATAAAGAGAAATTTAGTTGGATTGCCTACTGCAACGCTGCCTGATTTCATAACACATGCTATTCATGCTGAAGTGGTTGCTAGAAATAAAAAGAGAAATAAAGAGAGAGAAGAGCAAGCCAGATCAGTGGATTCTTTCTTGCAAGATTTGGGAGACTTGTGTTACCAGAGAGCACAGGGCCAATCAGCAAGGAGGGAGCGGAATGGAGGCAGAGGTCAAAGCAGAGGGAGGGGGCAGATGAAGACTAGGAGAGAGAGAAAGTTGGACAAAAGCAATGATTATTGTTACATATGCAAAAAGAAAGGACATTGGGCGAGAGAATGTGAAGCATGGGCCAGAGAATGTGAATCAAGTTCAGATGGGGAAAAGAGAGAAGAATATGTAGAAAAAAAAGGGAGAAATCAAAAACATCACAATGCATGACTAGGGAGTCAAAACAAAACTAAAGTTCTGACAAAAAGTAATGATGAAACAGTGAAAATTCCAAATTTAAAAATGACTTCCATAATTGAAAATGAAAATGGATATGATTCTGATTTGGCAAAGCAATGTGATGAGGTTATAGATTTTACTCAATTAGATATTTTTCATGTGTCTAAACCAGAAATAACACTTTACATTGAAGAAAGGCCCTATGTGTTCCTTTGTGATTCTGGAGCGGATAAAACAGTGATTAGGGATGTGAGCAATATACCCATTTCAAAAAACTCAATCACAGTGAGATCAGCTAATGGGTTAGTGCAAAAACAAAATTTGAGTCAGTTGATTACCATAACCAATCCAGAAACAGGCGATGAAGCCATGCTGAAAGTGGTTCTCTCACCGCTGTGCCTTTATAACCTACTGGGACGCGATGCAATGGTTGCATTAAAAATGGGAATATTTCCAAACAAAAATGGAAATATGGAAGCTAGGCGCTGTAGCAACACTGATATCCATGTCCTACAAGGGGAGGGATCAGTATTGTATTGTTGGACTTTGGACATGCCGACAAGTGACCCTGGAGAATCAGGGAAAGAAATTGTAAAAAGGGCAAAACAGGCATTAAATCCAAGTGCCATTGTCAAACAACATGATGAGTTACATGTCACTCTGAGATTTAAAACAACTCCAGGAGGTGATCCAGTTTACGATAAGCTTGTAAAAAAATTGGGTCCGCAGAGAGTTCAAATTAGAGACATTTACTGGAGAGACAAAACAAGTTTCTGCACTGTAGGAGTGGCAGATGCAGTAAAACAACTCATGGGAGATTTGCAGAATCCACATATCTCTATATCCAAAGACCCAGAGGCAGAGTGGAGTGATAACAATGCCTTTGTTGGTCAAGTGGAATCAATTAGAGATTGGGAGCAAGATAAAAAAGTAGGAGTATACTGGAGTAAAACAACTGGCTGGAGAAAACAAAAGATAAACTGGACAGTAGTATGTACGCCAGCTGTACATCTGACTGACCAGGAGCTTGCATGACTAATGACTCTAACACAGGAAGAGGAGGAGGAGCTTGAGCAAGTTCCAGATGAGGTGTGGTCAAAGGGACCCACAGACGTTGGGTTAATTAAGGGAATGTTACCAGTGGAGATCAGAGCAAAAACTGAGTACAGGCCCAGGATAAAACAATATCCTTTAAAACCTGATGCAGTAGAAGGAATAAAACCTGTAATACAGGATTTAATTAAAAAAGGAATAATTCAAAAATGCTCAGATTCCCCTTGTAACACACCAATATTCCCAGTTAAAAAGGCTTCTCCATCCATAGCCTGGAGAATGGTTCAAGATCTGCGAGCTGTGAATGAAGCAGTTATTCAAAGAGCACCTAATGTACCAGATCCACATACACTGCTTAATCAATTATGACCAGAGGCTAAAATCTTCTCTGTGATTGATCTCAGCAATGCATTTTGGTCCATTCCAGTGCATAAAGACAGTCAATTTTGGTTTGCATTTACCTTTGAAGGGGAAAGATATGTTTTCACAAGATTAAGCCAGGGGTTCGCTGAATCCCAAACTATTTTCTCTGATGCAATAAAAAATTGTCTTGCTGATTTTAAT